TCTCATTCTGGACTGTTGTCATGCAAATAACACCTAATTATATATTCCTTTTAAACAGTTCTTTCTCTCATCTGTTTCAATGCTGTGTACTTTATTTACCCCTTTTTTTCTTAGTTTCTCCCCAACTCCCATGTCAGTCCTGTTTTAGAACCGTGGCATTATGTAGTGTTTGTCCTTTTGTAACTGAGATATTTCAGTCAGCATAATGTCCTCCAGGGTCACTAATTTTGAATAAATGAGTTCCTTGTTTTTCAGTGCTGTGTAGTAGTCCATTGTGTGAATATACCACAGTTTCTTTATCCATTTGTTTGTTGATGGGCACTTGGGTTGCTTCCAACTCTTTGCTATTGTGAACAACTCAGCAATAAACATAGGTGTGCATATATCTGTTTGGGTGGCTATTCAGATTTCTTTAGGCTATATTCCCAGTAGTGGACTTGCTAGGTCAAATGATATATCTATTTCCAACTTTTTGAGAAAGCGCCATATTGCCTTCCATAGTGGTTACACTCCCACCAACAGGGAATAAGGATTCCAGTTTCTCCATAACCTTGCCAGCATTTGTTGTTTGCTGCTCTGTTGAACTTTGTTATTGTTACTGGTGTGAGATGATATCTCATAGTTACTTTGATCATATCTAACTCTCAAAAGGCTCAATTTTGACTAATATTCACACTTTCCCCTTTTGTCCTTGAGGCTCATGTTGAATCTATTTCAATTCTTTCTGTTTTCAAAAGTACAGAACAGGGATATCACGTATTGTTGTGTGCACCCCCGATCTTCATCGAAAATTGTTGATCTAAATGTAGGGTTGAAATCAGGATGATGGCAAAGAGGGGAAGAATGAGGAAGAGAAGCATGTTTAACATGGATAGAGATAAAGGAGAAAGGTAAGAACTGGAGAAATAGGTAGTGGAATAGATGAGGTAATGGAATATGGGAATATTAAAAAAAAAAAAAGATAAATGGGGTGAGGAACTGGAGAAATGGCTAAGTGGAAGGATACAGAAATTAGAAATTATAAAGTTCAGACAAAAATCAATTTATCCCAAAGTTTGCAGGGATCTGCTGAGTTTTTAAGAGGCAGCGAAGCTGAAATAGGAAGAGGCCCTTTATTTTCCTAGGAAGAAAACACAGACAGGAGGTGGGAGCTGAATGGCAGAGAATTTTCCAAACAAAGAGAGAGACTGTGGCCTCTCAAGCTGCCCCCACCCCATGCTGGGCAGGCAAATTGTTCGCACCCAAGGCCCTGACTTTTTCCACCATTGATTGATTGAGCCCCATCCAGGAGGGAGACCTGGGATAGAAGCTTGGGGAAGATCTTCACAGCAGCTGAGGAATAGAGGCCGGGCTGTAGAGTTGCGGTTCACAGGGTGGGTAGAAGGATGGCAGGGGTTAGGGAAAAGGAGCCTAGTTGTGGAGAGATGTAGCAGTGCTTGAGATTGCACTGCCAATTTCAAGACAAGCAGTTCAAATCCATCAGTTATGCCTCAGAAGAAAGACGGGCAATCTCCTCTTGAACAATTTACTGCCCCTGAAAAGCAGCTGGAGGGTCAGCTATGACTGTACATAAGAGCAACAATAAATTATAGCAACTGACTGACTTTGCTCTGGACAAGTGCAGCAAAATTAGGGACCTGGTAGGAGGCCAGGATTTTACCTCCCCCACATTCAGACATACTCCCCATTATCGTCTGATATAATCTTATTTTCAGGTTGTGAGTCCCCCCAGGATCCACTCTGTAGCAGCCCCCAAGTGGGCACTTTGCCTGAGGTGATTTGTCATCCATTGTATGGTTCAGAGATGAACAGAAAACATAAAAAGATCCATTGAGAGTGAAACTTAAGACTTTTGTTCTGTGCTGGAGAAAAGGAGTCTCTTCTTCCTCCTGTGTGCACCAGAAAGTCCATGGCCCCAACAAGAAATGGCAGCTTCCCCAATACCAACACAGATAGAAGCCAGCCTGGGGACAGGAGGCAGATGAATGGGTTTGCAGTCCTGGCAAGATTCAGAACTTCTGGAGCAAATCAACCCAGAAACTTGCTCTACCCTGTGACAGTCCAGCTGTGCAAGCTGACCAGCTCCCTATTGTTTACACCAGTTAAACTGGATATTACATTATGTTTAACCTTGAAACAGTCTAGTAAAGTCATCTTTAGGGAGAAACAAAGTAGATGCGGTGACTATCTGCGGAGAGAGATTTGCTTTTGACAAATCAATTCACTCATTCACTGCACAAATGTTATACTGAGCATCTAGTGGGGGAGAAAGGGAGCTCTGGTGGCTTAGTGGTAAGAAATTTTGTTACCCATGCAAGGATACCTGTTCAAATCCACCAGGTGTTCCAATGGAATAAGTTTGGCCATCTCCTCCCGTGTAATTTACTGCCTCTAAAAACCTGCTAGAGGGTTATCTATGGTAGTTTATGACCTGTTGGTACACAGCAACAACAACAACAACAAAGGGGTGGGAGGTGTACAACCTCCACCTGTGCTATTTATAGCCTTTGAAACTCCATGGAGGGTCAGCTAGGAGTAGGATCCTACTCTCAGCAATGGATGCATGGAGTGGAGGATGGGGGTGGTGGGGCAAGGGATGGGGACAGAGGATACATCAGTGAACAAGGTAGAACTCCCAACACCACCCCCTCAGCTAGCATTCCAGTGGAGAGCTGGTTCACAGACAGTGCTGACCCTCACTGCTACTTCCAGATTTTGAGGTCTCACCAGAGTATGTTGGAATGGGAGGAACCAGATGTTTATGGCTAAATTAGTTCCTAAAAATGGTAGAATCCAGCTAAGTTTTGATCGGTTGTATGTAGGGGTGCAATAAATCAGAGTCCACTCAACTGGCAGCTAACAACAACATTCTCTGATTACCTCTCACTTCTCTAATCCCTTTTCCTCGACTTCCATCATACAGTTGTTGTTGTTGTTAAGTGCCATCGAGTTGCTTGCGACTCATAGCGACCCTATGTACAACAGCCCTAAACTCCACTCTGTCCTGTGCCATCCCACTATCTCTGACACACTTACCCCCACTAATCCAGTCACTGAATCAATCCACCTCACAGAGGGCCTTCCTCTCCTGCACTGTCCCTCCACCCTCCCAAGCATGATGTCCCTCTCCAAGGACCGGTCTCTCCTCACAACATGTCCGAAGTATGTTAGACGGAGCCTCAGAATCCTTGCCTCCAAGGAGCCACCCGGTTTAACCCTTTCCAGGACAAATCTGTTTGTTTTCCTAGCAGTCCATGGTATTCTCAATACTCTTCTCCAGCACCACAGCTCAAAGACATCAATTCTCCTTCTATCCTCCTTGGTCATTGTCCAACTCTCTGATACATAACAAGTGATTGCGAAGACCATAGCCTGTATCAGACGCACCTTAGTCTCCAGAGAGACACCATTGCTCTTCAGTACTTTGGAGAGGTCCCTAACAGCAGACTTTCCCATGGCAATGCGCCTTTTAATTTCCTGGCTGCTGGTGCCAAGACTGTTGACTATGGAGCCAAGCAAACTAAAGCTGTGTACAATCTCAATCTCTTCACCATACATCTTGATGCTGCCAATTGGTCCAATGGTGAGAATCTTTGTCTTCTTGACATTGAGCCTCAATCCATATTGTAGGCTACAGTCCTTGACACTCTGCAGCAGGTGCTTCAGGTCCTTTTCAGTTTCAGCAAGGAGGGTTGTGTCATCTGCATAACGCAGATTGTTGATAAATCACCCACCAATCTTAACCCCACATTTCTCCTCATAGAGCCCAGCCTCCCGGATAATCTGTTCTGCATATAGGTTGAAAAGGTATGGAGATAGGATGCATCCCTGGCGAACGCCCTTCCCAATTTTGAACCATGCAATGTTCCCTTGCTCTGTTCTGACGACTGCCTCCTGGTCCATCATACAGTACTAGGTCATTAACCGACAATTTACTGACAACTTACTGGCTATTGGAGCCAGAAAGATAAGGCAATCTACTTTGGCAATTCAGCTTTGTCATATAGGGTCTTAGAGAACTGGCGTCCACATGATGGTAGTGGTTTGGTTTATTGTTTGTGTTTTTTTTTTTTAATCAGGCTTATAGGAAAGTGTGTCAGGGATAGGGAGGAGCACCGAATCTAGGTTGAGGGGTGTCAGCAGATCAAAACTGAAATACAGTTAAAACAATACCAAATATATACCCCCAACGCCAGGAATAAGATAAACAATCATTTTAGTACACTAACAAAATAAGGAGCTCTGGGCCTACTGGGTAAGGCTGACAAAAGCACGAATGCTCCTTTTGAATCGACCAGCTGCTCCAAGAGAGAGAGAAGATGGGCAATCTCCACCTGCGTAATTTACAGTCTCTGGAGGGTCGGCACGAGTGGAGTTTTGTTGAGCCGCACGCAGGTGACAATCAGAGTCCCAGAAACCGCAAGCCAGCGGGCACTGCGGTGCACAGAAGTCCAGGACAAACTCTCAGCCTCCTGGTGGCAAACCTCGGGAGCTCCGACAGCGCAGCGCTCCTTGCAGCGCGCACCTCGCGGGGACTCGCCGGCAGGCTTACTGGGGGCGGGGCTCCAGCGGCCCCTCCCCCGGCCCGGAGCGGGCGGGCAGAGCGCGCAGAGCGCTAGTTAAAGCAGCGAGGGGGAGGCGGGCTTGCCGCAGTCGGCTAGTGGCGCGCAGTTGGGCGGTCCACGTGTCTTCATAGAGTTGAGTTCTGGGGTTTTCCCCTGCTTCTTACGCTCCCGTGGTTCAAGACGTCCTCTAGATCCCGTCCGTGTCGGCCCGCCCCCGGCCCGCTCTCGCTGGGTCCCGCGCACCTCCCCACTTTCCGCGGGCCAACTTGCCGGAGCAACTTTGTCCGCGTGTGGCGCCGGGAGGTGGGGGAGCGGGGCACTGCGCATGCGGAGCTCCAAATTCAAACAGCTGTTTCTAGAAGCTGAAAGAGTGCACTGACCTGGAGCCGCAGGGGCTGGGGGAGGCTTTCTTCTGGCAGCGGCCGCTCTGGAGCCATGGTGGACCGGGGCCCTCTGCTCACCTCGGCCATCATCTTCTACCTGTCTATCGGGGCGGCGATATTCGAGGTGCTTGAGGAGCCGCACTGGAAGGAGGCCAAGAAAAACTACTACACGCAGAAGCTCCAATTGCTCAAGGAGTACCCATGCCTGGGCCAGGAGGGCTTAGACAAGATCCTACAGGTGAGCCATCGCCTGTACCCCCATATACGTTTACCCGAAGCCGGCTGAAGTTTAGGGGTGCAGAGGGAAGCGTCTCAGTTTTTGATGGCTCCCCAGACCTTAACAATAGACAACAGAGCCTGGGAGAGAAGACCCAGCTTGGGTCAGGCTGCAGGAATCTCTCTTTTCCCGGGTCCAGGGGGGTTACCACGTATGGAGATTCTTTAGCGCCCCGCTTGTATGGAGAAAGCTTGGGGTTGACCCTCGGTGAACTGAGCTGGGTCCCCGCGCTCGCTCAGTAGACTGTATGGGTTACCTCCCTCGGAGGGAGGCGTGGGGCGGATAAAGGCGTTTATCTTTCTTTCCTTGGAGACGCTCCCGGAGTCCGGGAGCCCAGCCGGCTGCCTCCCCCTGGCGTCTCCACCTCGCAGTCCCGGCTGTGCCGCGTCCGCGCGACTCTTGCTCGTGAATCCGTGGGGCTGCGGGAGGGTCCCCAGCACCAAGCTGCTTGGAGCCCGCTGCCCCAGAAGAACGGAGGAAGGGGAGGGGGAAAGTGGAGAGGGAGTGCGCAATGGCCTGAGGGTTGGTGTCGGAGTTAATGGGGACGCGCTCCCCTCGAATTAAAGTTCGTAAAAGTAGCAGGTTGAACAAATGGACTTTTCTTGGAAAGGAAGAAGTAAGGGTGTGCGGAAAGAGAGATGGATTGGTGGGGCTTCTCATACTTGTCTGCATAGAGGCTCTTATTTTGAGGGGTGCACGCCCTCAGTGTTACTGACTTGACCGCAGATAAGCTGACCGTCTGCCTTGCACTCTACCAATTTGGGCATCGAGTTCCTCACTTGGTTTCTCCAGGAGTTTTAACAGCCGTCCATCCACCCCGCCATGCGCTAGGGACCCGTCCGAATGGAACGAGCAGGGCCTGTGTGGGACCTAGTGAACGCTCTAGATTGTGGAATGGAATTTGGGTAGATTGTCCAAAGGTCTTGCATTTTTTGAGGGGGATGACAGATATCAAAACAGAAGGCCTAAAGAGAAACAGCAGCTCCTAAGACTTCATGCTTTGTCTAGTTTTACTTCATCTTTCCTACCTCAGTTCCTTCATATTGATATTGGATATTAACCTATTTTCATCACATTTTTCTGTCCTGGACTGTTGTGAGTGAGGTAGAAAGCATTGGAAACCATAAGGTTGTCTGGCCAGTAAAAATGTGAGTTGGCAGTTAAGTGGTTTCCTATTCATGGTGACCCATGTATTATGTCAGTAGAACTGTGGTCCGTGGGGTTTTCAGTGGTTCAGTCTTTCAGAAGTAAATCACCAGGCCTTTCTTCTTAGGCACCTGCAGTGGACTCTGTTGCCAGCTTTTGACCCCCTTTTGGGGGGGTGTCAAATATCTAGTGGTCAGATATTTACAGAGAAACAAGTGCCCACCACTGGTGGACATGTAAAGGTTTGCCCTCCAAGGAATCTAATGAAGAGAAGACTAAAACAAGTTGGGAGTTAAATTTTAATGGATTTCTTGCCTTCTAGCTGTTTTCTAGGCTGTGATGTTGAAGAAGATAGCTTCTAAGGGCTGTTGGCTCTTTTAATGGCCACTCACAGGGTGTGTGTTGGTAGGAGGGGTCACTTTATAATTTCCCTTGAGGAAACAATTCCTCTGGAGAACCAGTTTTTGTTTACTTTGTTCCAGGGCTTTGTTTAGAGGGGGAAGAGGGCAGGCGGGAGAGATGATAAAACCTTGATCTGCCCCCGAAGTGTTTCCCTCTTCGTCTCTTCTCAGCCAGGGCAGGGGAAGGAAGGAAAGAATTCAAGGCTAAATGTGGGAAAATAAACTTCAGAACACAAGGAGAAGGGAAAAGAGGGGGTGGGGGTCGAGTTGAGGGGTTAGGCAGCCTAGTGCAGCTGGTGGGGGCAGCCTTGGAGGCTAGACCTAGGCTTCTGTAAGGTGTCTGAACAAAGAAAGTGCCTCTTCTTTGAAGGTGCTGTTCAGTCCGTAAACGATCACCCTCCAAAAACATGCAGGTAACTTTTAGAAAAAGAACTGTGGCATCAGGCCTGTGTGATTTGGAGACCTTTACCATCCTGAACGACGTCAACCCCATCCCCACTCCCAGCCAAAAGCTCTGAAACTAACCTCAACCCTGGGCAAGTCCCCTTCTTTAGAAAAACCCCAAGGAATACAAACCCACCTTTGGACACATTTTGCTAGTCAGTTTTCACTTGCAGAAAATCTCCTTTGCTCTGCAATCTCATCTGTGACCCAAGGCAGTGCCTTGGGGGAAAATTGGTTTAAGGAAAGTGAAAACTGAAAAATGGCTTCTTGTCCACTGGCTGCTAGGGCATTTTCCACCAGAGGTTCTGTGTGTTAGCTGGTTCTGAATCACATTATAATCATTAAAAAAAAAAAAAAAGCCTTGTTTTAATCATAAAGAAGCCCATAGCTGGAAGAATTCCTGGGGTGGGGGTGGGGAGATAGGAATTTTGAAAACAGGGATGCAGCCCGAGTTGGGATTTTTCTTACACTGGAAATTGTGTACTTTCAGATACTCATGAAAGAACATTAATGCACCTCTGCTTAGAAATACTTCCAGGGCTGTCAGGTGCTTCCTCCCCTGCTCACGTTGTGGTTGACTGAGTTTAAGCAGACAGCAGAGGTTAACTTTTTAAAGTGCTTTGTACCCCTGCTAACCTCAGACCATGTGGCCGCCCTCTTTCCTGTCTTCAGAACCATCTCTCACCCTTGTTCTCAAGAGGCTGCTTTGCCAAGGTTTTTTGTTTTTTTTTTTAATGACTTCTCCTGCCTCTTCCAAACTTGGAGAGGCTCCCACAGCGGAAGTTAGAATTTAGAGTACACCTTCCAGGTGCTGAGCCTGGTAGGTGGTGGTGTCTGCATTGTACAAGTGAGGGCACTGGCTGGTTTTGCCATCAAGCCACGCCGTTTACTCAAGACCTGCTTCCTTTTCACAGCTGCAAGGTCAGGATTTAGGAAGGCTCAAGTAAAGTAGATATATGAGGTGAGGTGTGTGTGAACACACACTTCTTGCAAGTTGGGACAATGAGTTTGAATATGGTCCTGAGCAAAGTAACTAGCTTAGTGTTTTACCTCCGTTAGTTCATATCTAACAGCAACCATATATTTTCAGATTTAAAAAAAAAATATATAGATGCCCAGGGACGTTAAAGTGACCATGGTGATAAAACCAAACCTTTTGCTATTTGGCTCATTTTGACACCTGGCTACCCCATATGTGTAAAATAACACTGTTTGGAAGCTCAGAGGCAAACCTCATGGTATGAACCAAGCAGTCTACATGACGTGCCCCAGCCCTCTCTTGAGGTTGTGAAGTTATACAATTCTTGTTTTGCAACTGAACTTGGTAAATTGGTTCAGGCTGGACTCTGATCTGCTGGGAAATTCTGATTCTCCTAGCACAGGCATCTGCACTCACTCAGACTTCTTCTGTACTGTTTTGCCTGACTAACTCAGGGTCTCCACTAATACAATACACCTATCAACCAACCCCCCACCCCAACTCTCCTTTTGAAGCACTGAGTTGAGTTAAAGGGGAGGAAAGACAGCCCCTTTCAACCGCCTCTTGCTGGCATAAAATAAGCAGGAAGGATTTGATCGCCCACCCTGTGACAGTCTATGAGTAGCACTTTGTGTACATCTCCTTTAATCCCAGACCACCCCAGAGGGCAGTGTTGTTCCCTTTTAATAGATGAGGACTGTGAGGCTTGAGAAGATGATGCAACTTGCCCCTTGGACCTTCTAGTGCAGAGTCATCGTTCAAATCTTAATTGTGTCATATTACAAACCACAGGAGGTTAATCAGGAAGCATTTATTAAGCGCCTGCTGTGTGCTGGGAAGACAGATGCATAAACAAATGAGTGACAGCTGTGACAGGAATGTGTAGGAGGCTATGAAGAGTGAGGACCAGCCTAAGATGCCCTTAAGCCCAGAGTCTTGAAGTTAGTACTTAGCTAGAAAAAGGAAAGGTCTTAAGGGTGTTGCCCTTTCTCTTGCCCTGGGGAAGGGGAATGTGGGCTTTTCCAGAGCTCCTGAGGCTCCTTGTGTCCTGGGAGTGTGGTGGGAGTGACCTTAGGGAGAGTGACCTTAAGTCCTGCCCCACTCTAGCACCGTAGATCTAACTCTGACCCAACAGCTCACATAACTGACCTGTTCTCAGAAGCCTCTCTGATCCCAATGGCCTCCTGTCCTCCTAAGCTCCAGGCTGCAATATTTTCCAAGGTTTCCCATGTATCAAACTTCTCATTTTCCAGACCCTTCATTCGCTTGTGTACATTTGCCTGTCTACAGTAGTAAAACTCATTCCAATTTCCAAGTTCCGATAGTCAGTTTTTAACACCATGCCTCTTCTAAAAATTTGAAAAAGAAAACCATGGATTATGTGGCTAAATGATAACAGACCAAAATGTTCTCCTCTAATGGTGGGGAGACACTAATTGAAATTTCTAGAGAACTGAGTGTTAACATGAAACTGCCGTTTGTTTCAGGCTGTTAGAAATTGTAAAACACTCTGGTCCACTTTACTGCCTTTGTAAGTAAAAGGAACACAATGGATCTTTTGATTATTGAGGATCGAGGAGTCATTCATGGCTCGTGTCTAGGAGTGCAGAAGTGGAAAGTGGAGAAATTGAGTTTTTGAGAGGAAATGGGAGAAAGAGGTCCTTTCTGCATGGTTCGTTTCCTTATTTACCTTCTGCTCAAAATCAAAAGCAGCGGACAACTCTCAAATCAGAAAGTTCACAAATGCACCTTACTTAGCAGCATCAGCTACAGATTTAATATGTTGAATTTTTATTAAATTGTTTTGAAAGTTTTACTAGAGCCCTTGCAGTGATTACAAGCTGTAGTGGCACACCCGTTACGTGTTCACTGCTAACCAAATGGCCAGTGATTCAAACCTACCAGCTACTCTTTGAAAGAAAGGTGTAGCAATCTTTGAGCCTGGTAGAGCCTATGGTGTGTTTCTGCCCTGTGCTATGGTGATACTTTGC